ATAAACTAATCTATACACCTGTCTGTAATTCAATCTTGTTCCATATTTATTGACTTAGAGCTGTTCACTTCCTCTTTGCCTACAATAATTCAATGGGTATTTCATCCCCATTTGGTGATTACATTTCCTATTTGGCAGCTAAAGAGCCCTCCTCAAATGAGGCTTGGAGAAGATTTCCCAAGAAGCAGATGCTGTGCTGCCAAGCCCCAGCAATAGTGTTAGGGAGCAGTTAGACCCATTGGACCTGACTTGAATCAAGCAGACTCTGATGTAGACCAGAAGCCTCCTCCAACCAAGAATGCTGATATCCGAAGGGAGAGCAGGAAAAAACAGAGCAGCACTAGAGTGGTCAACTGTGGCAATAGACAGCTGGACCTCAGAAATAACCTGCTGAAGGAAACCAGATCTGATCAGCACCAGGTGTCTGTTAAGGCAGGGCCAGAGGCTGTTAGTATTTATGGAGGCTTAGTAAGTTGCAGACTCTATGCCTATCTGTGAATGCCTCTATGAACTCCTGATCTCAAGCTCCTAGCTGTTAAGACATTTCCTTGGGATTGTACTCTCTCTCGTTGCTCATTGAAGTGCGGTTTGCCAATGTATGAAACCTGGACCAAATTTACAACTTCAGAATTAAACCTGATGGATTGATTGCAACCTTAAACTAGATAAACATTGCTGTTGAGAAACCAGAATATATTCTTTACATAAATGTTTGTTATTCTATAATACTATTATAAAGAGTTTCATTATAGTTTTTCATCCTTTATTAGTTTCATTCACCTAATTGTATCTTAGCTGTAACTTTGCTTATGATTTTGACATTAAAAAGATCTAATTTTCCTGTTCTTATTTTTTATTGACATTCTTCACTGAAATATCTTTGTCCTTTCTTGATTAATACTGAAAGTATGCATTCAGTCATCATAGGTTCTTGTTGTCCAAGGTTTATTCTTTCACCTTTCCCTGGCCATCACAATAATTTCAGAAAATTGGAGATGTGATGTGCAGTTCACATCCCTGGGTGGTCTGACCAATATCCAGGATAACAGAATGAGACTGCAATCTAATCTGGACAGATTGAAAAATTGGGCCGAGAGGAACAAGTATCTTTTTGAAAGGGAGAAATGTAAGATATTACATTTATGTTGGAAAAATGTAGGGCACACATACAAGTTGGGAAATTCATAGTTTGGGAGCACTACCTGAGGTGCATTGACAAGAAGTTGAACATGAGCCAGAAATGTGGTCCAGCTGCTATCAGGATAACAAAGTTTTGGGATGCATTAAAGAAGCACTGATTCAAAGACAAGTGAAGTTGTTATTCTCCTCTACTGTCTACTTGTGAGATCATACCTAGAGTACTGTGTACAGTTTTGGATCCTCATTTCCAGAAGGATATTGACAGATTATAAGAAGGTGGCAATAAATACGATAAAGGGACTTGAGGAAATGTTCAAGCAACTTTGAATGTTCAGTCTGGAGGAAAAAAGACTGAGAGGAAGACAGGGTATCAATGTTCAGGTACACAAAAGGTGCCACAGGGAAGATGATCAGGAATGTTTTCCACTGCTACAGAAACTAGGGCCATACATAGTAACTACAAGCTGCAGTTACAACTATTCCACTTCAATATAAGGAAAAACTTCCTGATCAGATCTGTATAATGGTGGAATAGTCTACTTACATAGGTTATGGATTCTCCATCTCTAAAATTTTTTTTAAGATGATCCTGGATTAGAGGATTGTTGTGGTCCCTTGTAACTCCATAATTCTGTGATTATAGTTTTCTGTGATGTCATCAAATTGATTCTGACATTGTATATCCAGTGATGTCCTTCCACAGAGTCTGCAGTTATATTTCCTGAAGTAAATAATACAGAAGTGTGTTTGACTAGTCCCTGCAGGTGTAGATAAATTATCTTCAAATTCAATTAACCTATCTCATGTGTAATTGCATTTATCCAATTAAAATCATCCTGGATTCTACCATTTCTCCAGCTCTTGCATTCCAGTCTCTCAGTAGTATTGTGTCCTTTCCAGAAGTCTCATTTAGTACTTCTTGCAATTTGCCACAGAATTCCGCAATGTCTTCTACCTTTGCCTCTGTAGTAGGAGCATAGATGTGTATAACTTAGATGTTCACTGGATATCCATTAATTCTAATATACCATCCTATCATTTATTGGATTTTATCCAAACACATACTGTACTGAGTAATGTCCTTTTTGAGTGTTATTGCCATTCCATTCTTTTGCATGCTTCCATGCCCTGAATAGTAAATCCTGGTCCATTCACATATGCCTAAAATTTAATTTCTACTTTGACAGTTTCAAGTATATGACATATACTTCTCATATGTCATATTCCTTTTTCAAAGCTGACAGCATGGGTAACTGTATTACCTTGTGTCTAGCTACATCATTACCTCTAGATCTACTTATGAAAGTTCCCAAATAATTAAAGGAATGCTTTCAAATTTAGCCAAGCCCAATCAGTGTCTCTGGTAACAAGATAGAAGCGATGGGCCATGGGCCATTTTCTTCCAAATGGAGAAGTAGAGTTCCTTCTTTTAGGTGGACTGACTTCCTTCATGCTGCCTGGGCTAGTTCTTGGATGAATACATTTCTAGGAAATGTCCACAAATTTAACCAAAAGATTCAAGGATGAGGATTGCATAGAGAAGTAATTTTATTGTAGGTGCTAAGCAGAACTAATTATGTAAAGAACAGCACCTGCAGAATCTAAGGATCTGCATATGCTGAGGTTTAAAACCTATTTTTTCCCCCGCCACCTTTTGGTTGTAATGGACCATTTGCAGTCTATTTAGTTGCTGATATGCTGTGTTTTCCCAGGCACTGTTTTTCTCCCAGTGCCAGCTCCTGCCCTCACACAGGCCTATGGAACCCTACCTGCCCTTGTGATTTCCTCTTAACTTCAGCTCTCCCCTTAGATGTTACTGGTGAAGGCGACCTTACCAGGAGTTTCTGCTCCCATGCAGCTCTAAGAGTCAGTGAAACTACTGAGCCTTCCTATCAATCAAAATAATCATCTGGGAAGACTAGTTTTAATTAACATCTTTCCACATTGTTTGCTGCGAACTGTCATTTGTCTTTGGCTGGGGTTGCCCAACACTCTGAACAACGAATTAGTCAGCCATAATTTTGCCTAGCATGCCATACATCATGCAAATCAGAAAACTGGATTGAATAAACCATGGTTAACCACGGGCAAATGAATACAGATTGTATCCTGCTATGTGAATCTCAATAATACGAGACTATGCCCCACAGTAGATTCACAAGAGTAATAAAAAAATAAAAAGCAGCACTGTCACAAAATTGTTTTTTGGAGACCTGAGACAATCCACCGAGTACAGTATCAGCTTTTTTAGCAAGACCACGAAAGTAGGTGGCGGGGGGGGGGGAAGAAACCCTCGTTGCTATGACAATGGAGACGCTTTCGGCTTTCCTCTGTTCTCGCAAGAATTGGCAATCCCGCGAGAAGTGCGAAGGGGGAGAAACCTCTTAGTAACTCCTGGTCCCACCCTCTACAATTAAACCCACGCTTTCTTTTCAGTTCATCTTTGCCGGATTGCTCATTACTTTTGTTCTCTCCAAGAGCCACGGGTGGTTTGGCACAGTACCGTACCACAGTACTGTGGTTTATTCAATGAACCATGTCGTCTGAGTTCATATTCGCAGTGAGCTGCAAACTGCCTACCAATGTTGTATATTGCCTTGCGCATAACCATTTTCCTCAGTACGCAGGAGTATTCGGACCTCTCACTATGCTCCGCGGGGACAAGGGTGCATAGGGTTACGGTCCAAAGCGCCAAACCTCAAGCATTTGCGAACGAATTATGTACTTCACATTACAAGCCGCTTGGTAGAGGGCGGCGCCCTAGGAAAGTGCACGTTTTGCGCGTGGAGGATACATCTCCCGCACCTGTCAAGTGAGCGGCTCTTGTACTCCTTTTTTCTACCTTCTTGCTGTTCGCAGTTTCTATAGGATACCCTTTCACATCTTAGCAGTCCTCTAAATGCATTGGCCGCCGTTCCCATACTTCCAGCAATGGTAGTGGCTGGCGATGCTCGGTGGGGACGACGGCAGGTGCAATCTAACGCAAACGGAGTTGGGGACAGAGGCTGTCCCGGTAAATCGATAGCCTTGCCAAAGGCGTGACTCTCTGAAATCTAGGTTGCCAGGTGGAGGGCCCTCCAGTGGCATAAGTAAATATTCCGCGGTTTCGGAATATCAACGCAGGCTAAAAGACTAGACCAAGGGAATAACGTTTGTGGCTGCAAACTGCTTCGGGGAACTGCTCCAAGAGTACACCCTCCACCCCTGCTCCATTCGCCAGGCGCCGAGAATAAACTTCAGCTCGCGCCCTCTCCCTTGGCGGCTCTGAATTCCCTCCTCGCCCTTTGCCTTTATTTGCGGAGAGGTCGCGAAGCGGCTCGACTGCCGAGC